AAAATGAACGAAAGGACAGAAAAAACAAAAAGAAGAAAAACGAGGACAAAAGGCCACAACTAACCAAACACTTTTAATGAATGCGTTCGATAGGCAAAGCCAAACAGGCCCGGTTACAAACCCAACGACAAAATCTAAATCAAACACTTATAAAATATAAAAAGGGTAGGCCATATTTTCAAAAGCATGATTTAACGTCAACAGTCACATCAGTATAGATCGAAAGAATTTCAAAGACCCGAACAGTTTAAACGCAACCAAAGAAGTACAGCGCATCGGTTCGATTTAACTCAATGGAGGCATCGACGACTCGAAATTGCTGATTTATTCTCTGACTTTTCCAAACTACTTATAGCTCTTCTTCATGGACAGAATCAAATTACTGTAATCCCTTAAATAGGGCAAATTGTATTTTTCCCCTATAATTACCGAAAGTTCTCTCTTAAGAAATTTAACATCAACAACGCCAACTTATTCTCTCGGTCCTGATGGACTTCCTGGGTGTGTGCTTAAGTTTTGTGCATCAACCATCTGCAAACCTATTCTTAAACTTTTTCAATTGTCTATTTCATCATCAGTTTTCCAACTATCTGGAAGGATTTTTTTATTATTCCACTTCACAAAAGGGTGCGAAGGCGGATGCCCAGAATTATAGAGGTATTTCTAAATTGTCGGCTATTCCAAAAGCCTTTAACGTATTATCACTTCTCATTTGCAACATTTATGTTCCTCCTAATATCACCGTGTCAGCACGGTTTGTTAAGCGAAGATCGACTACCACCAACCTACTGAATTGTCATCAATTGTAATAAATGGATTTAACAATAAAATGCAGACTGACGTTGTATATACAGATTTCAGTAAAGCCTTTGACTCTGTTAACCACTCTCTTCTTTTATTCAAATTAGATTTGCTTGGCTTCCATGTAATCTATTAACTGGATTCAAGCTATTTGAATGGGAGGACTCAGAGGGTTATATTTAAGAACGCTGTTTCAAAAACGATCCATGTGACATCTGGAGTACCTCAGGGTAGTCATTTGGGCCCTTTGCTGTTTACTTTGTTTATTAACGATCTTCCCTCTATTGTAACACATTCTCGTGTACTAATGTATGCTGATGATGTTAACTTTGTTTGACTTATAATAATATAGAGTCTGGTTTGGCTTACAATCAGACATTGATCATTTTCAAGTATGGTGTGAGTATAACCTCTTAAATTTGAACTGCCTAAAATGCAACGAATGACCTTTATAGGGTTACCCCAAGCTTTATAAGTTATTCGCTTCAGAATTTGCCACTTGACCGTATATATTCAGTAAATGACTTCGACAGTCAATAAAGCTATGAGTGTTCTTGGGTTTATAAAGCGTTGGTCAAAAGAATTTGATGACCCTTATATAACCAAATTATTATTTACCTCCCTTGTCCGTCCTATATTGGAATATTGTTCTTCGGTTTGGAGCCCACAATACCAAGTCCACATCGACCGTATTAAGTCGGTACAAAAAAATTTCTCCTTTTTGCCTTCGTAGTTTGAATTGGGATCAAAACGTAAGGCTACCTCCCTATCAGAGTAGATTACTATTGCTTAATCTGCCCACACTTCAAATCGTAAAAAATGCTGGGTACCATTTTTATGCATAATCTTATAAGAGGTGATATTGATTCTGTAGAACTTATTAGCCGCCTAACTTTTAATGTTCCCGTAGACTAACACGTAATTATCAACCTCTTAATTTACCTCGATGTACATCAAATTTTGGTCTGCACGAGCCCTTTCGCGTTCTATGTAATAACTATAACGTTCTTTATCATTTAATTTGCTCATCAACTTCTATCCCGGTATTAAAAACTAACATTTTAACTCATTTGCTTCACTCCTAACTGCATGTTTTTTTTATTATTTGTCCCGTCTTTATTGGTTTATGTATTCTTCCTCGCGAACTCGCATTTTTGCCCAAATTTACAAAAGGGCCCCGCGCGTAACAAGCACGTGCTTGGTGTCGTTGGGCCACTTGTTTGTACTTCTCGTAGTGCATCAACGTCCATCATCAAGATTTTTCATTATAAATATTTAATATTTTTTCGTTATTTCAGGCCCCATTTTCTGTACCTGTAGCGTATCCCATTAATTTGACTAATTTTAAATGAAACTTTAATTGTTTAAATAAACATTTATTTATTATTAAATTCATAGGTATTTTCTATGTCTGCAACTCTTCTTTAAATCTCTTGTTTAATTGCCTGTTTTCCCTGATTTTCTTCAGTAATAAATTAGTAAAACTCGTCTTTATTCCAGTGACGACATGCAACAGTTTCCACTATTTAATGGCGATCTCCGAGCAGCCCACACTCCAAATAGTTAACACACATGCGGCTCTATGTGTGTTGGTGCGGTGTCATGTTGGCTATTATGAATTGTGCAATTGTCGTCAACGCCAGCGAGATGCCATCCCCATTCTGCGCCGCTTTGGGTTCCCTTTTTCATTCACCATCACCATCCACCATCCACCATCTCCATCTCCAGTTGAGCTGACAGTCAGTCAGTCACTCCATCTCCCAGCTTCAAGCGCCACTGTTTTGCCCCCATATCACTCCTTGTGTTAGTCACTTCTAGTGCTTGGTTTCATTCCGATTGCCTGCTCATCATCCAGCAGCTCTTTGTTTGGACGACGATGACTACGGCGACGGCACACACGGCGTATACTGAATGCAGCGACTGCGTTTGCCTTCGTTTGCTTTCGTTAGCCTGCATTTGCCGCCATTTTTCAACTGACTGTATTCCATTTCTTCTTCTATTTTTTTTTTGCTTTGTTGTTGGTAGAAACTAGTACTACTAGCACTCCTAGTAAATGACTCTTCAACGTTTGTCGTATTTGTCTGGCAGCACTTTGAAGTGCCAAATATTTTTGCATTTGTATACTGTGTTGCCTTTTGTCGTTTCGTTTGAAGCCATTAGTTTGCTGCCGCCTGACGAATGCTGCACACAACAAAAAAAACACGTCAAATCGATATGCGCATGGTGAATTTCTGGCATATCGTTTTTACCGTGCAAAACCAATTTCTCTCTTTCGGAGGTTCTCTGACAAACTCGCTCAATTTGAAGACATATTCAAAATTTCCAGCATATGTAGTCAAAATTGATACCACGCATGGTAAAATCGATCTTCGTTTACAAATTTTTTTTTTTTTTTTTAAAAAAAAAGTTTTTTTTAAATTGGTTAAAAACTCTTTAAAAGCCAGAAAGAAGCATTTACGAATTATAAAGTTATTTTTTCATTAGATTATTTCTTTTTCTTTCTTTTTTTTTTTTATTTTTTTTTTTGGCCTTTTTTTTTTTTTTTTTTATGTGTACTGCTACTCTTGCTTCTTGATAGAGCCACCGAAAATCGACCTGCTTTAGCATTTATGACAGCCACTCTAATTAAGCCACAAAGTGCTGCAATTCTCCCAATCAGCGAGGTGAGAAGCGCCGCAGTTAATCAGGCGAGCAAGTATTTAATTAAGTGCGGCAAATGGAAATGGGAATGGAAATGGATGTGCATGCAATGGGCTTCATTATGTTCTTCGCGCCGTAAAATCTTTTACCTTCATTTTCAGGAGTGAAAAGCGGGTGTCTCTGTATCGCTATAACATTTATGCGCTTTTGCCGGCGCATCAAAGTCATCAAATGAAACGAACACTCCTGGCAATTCCACCTCGTTCTATCTATAGATATATATATATATAGAATCTGAATCTGTGCGCTCTGGGTGTAAAGCTGTCAGCTAGTTTGCATTCATCAGCAACCATGCCGGCAATTGAGTGACACCATCCTCATATTCCACAGGATTCAGTATCATCATCATTGCATTCCCATCTCAAAGATTTACATGACAGCAGTTGCAGTTCGTTCGCTATTCATTTGCTGGCAGCCCTTCTCGTTCTGATTGCTTGTATTAGTGATTGTCAGTTGGCTAAAAAGCGGAGGAGGGGCTGTCTCTCCATTTGATTGCCATTGCAATACGTAAATCTCTTGTGCTTATGAATATGCGCATGGCGAATAAAATTCCATGTTTGTCACTCCGCATTGATTGAAGTGTGAGTCCTGCGTTCTGCATTCATATGGCATCCATCCTCTTCATTATCCGAGTGCAACTATTATTGGTCGGTGTCCTCAAAAGAGCTCTTTGAGTCCAATATATTGATTTCTTGCTGTGCAATTGAATGGCTCCCTTCGGCGACTACAACCTTCGTTATATCGCACACTGAATACCAATCAAACCGTTTCTTATGCCCATTGTGGAATGCTGTCGACACTGGCCAAAGCATTTAAGCCATTAACACGCAAAGGTCGCCAAATGGTATTGATTATGGCCGCTGGCCAGACGGAAAGTAAAGGCCAAGAAACCCCCATCCACCCCATAAACGAAACGATAACAAATAAGAATAACAAACAAACAATCGGCACAAAGAGTCCGTCGCCTTTCACTTCGGGGTTTGGGTTTGTCTGGGGGAAAGACAGCCCTTGTATATGTAGCTAAACTGTTTTTCCTTTCACTGTCTGTCTAGCCGTCTCAGTCTGGGAAATCATTTGGGGAGGAGTAAGGTCTATTTATGACATGGTTCACAACTGTCAATTAATCCGAGATTTTTTTTATATTTTTTTTATTATTATTTCAAAAATTGCTTTCAAAGCCTACCAACCTAAGTTAAATATATAATAAAGCTTTAAAAATAGTTGTTAAAAAATCAAAAACCGGTTTTTCGTTACTATATTAAATTAATGTGACCAAATTGTTTTACTTCGCAATTTCAAGAATTTTGGGCACACTAATTTATTGAAAATTTACATTTTTGCAAAGTTCTTATTCAAAATACGTTTGTCTATACCATTTTCTAAAAGAATGAGGTGATCAAATATATTCTTATTCGATTTTTTATCTCAAACACAACACCATCTATATTGCAAAATCAAAAATGTAGTTTTAAAAAATCTATACAAAGCATTTTAAAACATTTTTGGTGCACAGCATCAAAGGCTTCTGTGCCTCCTCTTTTGCATAGCCTTCTTCCTTGATCTCTTCGAGGGTTTCAGGTACGACCTGAGGGTAGTCAGTAGGAGGCCAAGTATTTAGTCAATCGGTGAAATTCGAGAATGCCATTAATCAATAAATACCATTCGCCGAGGGGTATGTAAACGTTGCACACGCAGGCATTCAGCAAATGCAGGACCCCGGCAATTACGCCAAAGGCGCTCGAAATATAGAACAGGTATGCGAACTCGTTGCCACAGTGATCGATCATGGCCACGATGAGGGTAAGTGCGCTCGATATGCAGAGAATGCCGCTGGCAAAGTTAAACGTCATCGCCTGTAAAACACACTCGTTGAGCATTCATCATCACCACCGCCCAAAAACCGCCCCAAAAAGCCCCGAAAAACCCCTCAAAAAGCCCCGGAAAAAACCCCCGTATGTACGCACAATTGGATCGAGGCCTACGGTGGTGCAGCACAGCCGGAACACGACGAGCACCACGCTCTGCAAGGCAATGGGGGGCAGGAGAAATGTGTACAGCCACACCGATATCCTGTACTCCTGGCCCCGAACACAGTGGGTGGACAGGATGTGGATGAGCATAACCAGAGCCACGACCTCAAGCACCTAATGGACAAAGGCGGATATGTTACTGGTCCATCGCATTGCAAGACTCCGATTCTAGTCACCAACCGCCGTCAGCATCTGCAGCACAAAGTTCACCACACGAAAGGGGAAGCTCATAATGGTAACCGGAAATTTTGTACTACTCGTTGACAGTAAACACAAATTTGCCTACTGATGGAAATTGAAGAGGAAAATTTGAACTTTGACTGATTTTTAGTATATATAATAAATAAGTGTGGCCAACTTGTTTCACTTTGCAATTTTAAGCATTTTGGGCACACTAATTTCATAAAAAAGGAATATTTTTGAAGAGGAATATGTGAAATATAACCGTTTTCGGTAAACATAACACATTAGTGTGACCATCTCATTTAAATTTGCCTTTTAATCCATTTTGGGCACACTAACTTCTTGAAAATGCTTATATTTGGAAAGTTACTAGCTAAAATTCATATTTCCACTTCGTGATTAAGAACAATTTATGAAATGGCTTTCTCTATGACTCTGCGTAATGGGATTCCGCATGAGCACAGTATCTGTTTATCCACTTGGCTGCGAAATTTTATTGTTTTCTGCTTCTCCTTTCGTTTTATGTTATTTTCATTTTGTTTTGGCCCTGCTAATCTAATTGGCCTCGATAGCGCTTGTTGAGTGGCCGAGTCGTTGCCCTGCCACGCATTTGTTGCTTTGTTTGCACTAATTTCATTACTTGTGGAATGTGGCGATGATTTCATGCAATTTAAAGCCACATTTTTCAGTGGCAAAGCATTTAGCATAGTACCTGACCGGACTGGACCCTAGGAACCCATGAAACCCAGACCCATGGAACTCGGGGCCCAAGTGCCCAAGAGTTCTGGTCCCATAACTGGCTGGTTGCTAGAGTCCACCCACTCCAGGCTTTTATAATAATTGCCTGTTGACACGGGATGGCCAAGGGGCCACCGTCGTTAGAAGCTTCGGAACGCGCCGACTGGGATCGAGCAATGGAAATGCCGTTGATAAATGAAATTTTCAAAACGTGAACCAACAAAAGGGGACAAAAAACAAACGAAACGAACGGAAACCAAACCGAACACAAAACAAGCGGAAAAAAGGGGGCGGCAAATATAATTTAATTTGTTCGCATTTCAAAAGGTGCTCAGCCCTTTTTTTTGTTTTGCGAGGTTTGGTTAAGCATTGATTGCGCAAAAGAAACACTTAATTTATTAAAAGGAAATCCTTCCGCTGATCAATACTTTTCCCAGTCAATTGGCTGACTCCCCCGAGTGACATAAATTTTCGCCAGCTTTGCTGCGACAATTGCATATTAGCCAAACATGACAACGTTTCGCCCTTTTCTCTGTGAAATTTATGGAAAAATGTACGCAAAGAGAGAAAAAAGAAACTTTCGCCTTGAGATGAAGATGCGAAGTGAAGTGAACTCCCCAGTGGAGGCCAAAAAGGAAGAGAAATGTTCTCGAATAAACAACAGCGGAAATGTAGGCTATGATTTGCTTGTATGTGGGAAGAGGGGTTTTTCCAAGGTTTCCAAAGGGAGTTGGACCAATGACAAGGGCGGTGTGGCAAAAGTTCACAGAGCTGGCGAAACATAAATCAAATGCATGTAAAATTTTCGTACTTTCCGCACACATATCCTGATCCTGTGCAAGTGCATTGGGCAGGCCCAAAGCAGAACAGGACAGGACAACCGGTGGAGAAAAAGGACGAAGGACGAGAAGGACTAAAGACGAACGAAGGCCAGTGTGAGTGGGAGTGCGTTGTGTTTTGTGCACATCCGTTAACTTTGTCATTTTTGCTCATTTCCTTCCGGCATGTGCAAGAAAACTGCAGCGGCAAACGAAACGAAATGATTCCCAGCAGCGCTCCACTGAGCCACTGAGCCGCCGAGCCACCGAGCCACTGAGCCACTGACAAGCCGTAAGCCGTAAGAAACCCAAGACCGAACTACAAACACAAGCCTGGCTGCCTGGCGAAACAAAAGCAATGCGGAAAGCGGCAATAAGTTGAGGGCATAACTTTCAGTGCCTTCAAGAACACACACACTCCAGAGGCGTACGAAAGGGGGTTGGGACATTTTGATGCTGAAACCTAAGCTTATAATTCCTTTCACATACTAAAGTTCTTACGTTTTGATCATGATTCTTTATACTTGATTTTCTATGCCTAGTTATTCCTCTGGTAATGTCTTAAATTTATTGGAAAAATTAAAAAAAAAAATTTTCATAAATTGTATACAAATTTTCCATTTATTAAGTTTTGTTTTATTAGGTTTTTATTTTTAATTAAATGCATTTGTTTGGGACAATCAATACAACAATTCTGAAGATGAGTTTAGTGAGTTCACAATATTTCCATGCCCAAAGGCAACCTACAAAGGAAAAACAAAGTTGATTTTTTTTATTTTAACTTTTTAAGTCAGAAAGTATTAACAAGAGATTTAAATTAAGAATTTTGTAGTGTAAAAAATTATTAACCACTTGTTTTTTCTAGCCCCTACCCAAATCCAGAACTACACCCCTGAATAAAAGGGTGAGAGGCTGGGGGCTCAGAGCGTTTTGCATGAAATTAGAGTCGTAAGACACAACGAGAGCCGGGCAAAAAGTCTTGGGTCTATAACTTGCTTGTTGGAATTTAATTATTTTGCAGTTGCTGTTTCGGTGGTGCAACTTGGTCACGGGGGTCTTATTTTTTGTACATTACACGACCCACCCTGCCCTCTCCCTTGGACCTCCCTTCTGTCGGGGAATCATGTGCCAAAAATAGCAAAACTTTGCTGCAATTTTCATTCGCATTTATTGTGTTGACATGCTGCCACACTGCGTATACGTATCCTTGATGCAGCCAAACAATTTATTTATTTAAGTTGAGTTGAGTAGCAAGTAGAAGTAGGAGTTGTAGTTGTAGTTGTCGCTGCAGAAAACTTTCTGCCGTATGTTTGCGTTTGAGAAGTGGAAAATAAAAAATATTTGTACACTTCCCGTTGTTTGCAGTTTTCCTCGTATCCGATTAGATGGCCCTAGATGCGAAAAAAACCCGTGTAGATTCCTTCTGAAAAGCGGATTTCAGCTCAGCAGAAGTTAATCCCCATGCCACCTGCATTGCCGACTAAAGCTTAAATGCATTCAAAGTCAAAGCCACATTAATTAGCATGCTTAGCTGACTTTTATCAAAAACCAATTAAATCCACACACTCACACGGGTAGCACACACAAAGTAAAGTTGATAATTAAATGAATCTGTGTGAGTGGCTTTGAGTTCAAAGTTGGCAGCCAGCTTTTTAGCTTTTTTATTTTCTCAGTGTGTGTGTGAGAGCTCTTTGGCATAATGACACATGCGACACGGCGGTATTAAAAATATATATAAAAGTACTAGGCAAATATGCATAGCGGGGGGTAAAAAATAAAAATCACAAATAACATTATTAACGTTAAATTAAACTTTGGAATTTTGTTTGCCTCCGACCCCCAGCCCAAAAAAAGGACTCAAAAGAGAAGGAAAAGGATTAACTTTTCGCAGAGTGCCTGCTGAAAAGTACATTAAAAACACAGGCAGGAACCGGAAGTGAAGACCAAAGGCTTGTTTATGTTTACCGTAATTTGCGGCTGACTCTCAAAACATAATCAAAGACTTCAAATAAAGTCGTAATCGAGCATCTTACCTAGTAGGATTCCCAGAGAGATTTTTCCAGATTTTTCCGCCAACAGCTTTTCCACTTTTCTCCCCATTTTCTCCGCCCACTTGTATTTGTCAAGTTGCAAGCGTATGCGTGACACGTAGTAAATTAAATGTGAAACTCTGTAGCAGAGTGTAGCTAACTGAGAGTTTAGTGTTTGTGTGTGAGGAACTGAGTTTGAGGGGCTACAAAGAATGCTGTTGAGCATAGGAATATATATATATAGTATATGTACCCCTGCTATAAATCATCAAAGTTCAACGTTTGCCATTTTGTCTACAATGTGCAAGAGTATTCGAAGAAGTCTGTGAGTCTGCGAGTGTGTGAGTGTTGAGTGTACATATGTATGTGTCTGTGTTTGCCTGAGTGTTTGTACCCAAATGTGTTTGCTTTGCAATTTCCTTTTATTTATTTAAAGTTCTTTAGCAAACATTGCGCTGTACCAACGCCTCTTCTCTCTTCTTCTCTCAGACACGCAGGCAATGTTCACATTAAGTTTTCTGCCAAAAGTTTTAACAAGTAATCTTTTAATTAAGTGCCAGCCATCCGCCATCCTCCCCAGCTCAGAAATCTCCTCAGACATTCGGCAATCCTAGAATTATGAGAGGAGCAACAGGAACCGAAACAGGGAAAGGCGGCGGAAAAACGCACAAATCTAATTTGATTAATGGTCAAATGCTAAGCTTAATTAGTGGAAACAGCAGCAGCGAAAAACGCGCCAAGCCAACTGGAATCGAGCATTAATGGTTGCCATTGCCACAAATACCGGGCAGAATAAGAAATTAAATAAATAACCACAAAACAACAACTAATTGCACCACAAACGACAATGGAATAAACAACACGGCGACCAGTGAAAAGGAAAAGCGGAAGGAAAATGGAACAAAAAATGGCAAAAAAAAAAAGCGGAGCTGAAAATATTTCGCAACTAATAAAAACATTGCGGCGTACTAAATCAACTGGAAAACTGTAAAACACATTGAAACAAAGGTGAACGAGAAAAGGTAAAACGTGGGAAAAAGGTAAAGGAAAAGGGAAAGCTATATAGAGGTATTAGACCTTAGGATACCCATTAAAAACCCAAAAAATATTGTGATAACATAAAGTTTTATTTTTGATTTAAAAATAGAAAAATAATAACTGAGAGGACATTTCCAAAATTTTATAGAGAAAGTATTAGACCTCAAGATACACAATATATAATACTAAGAAAATATGAAAGGTATAATTTATTTTTTATTTTAAATTAAATAATGACAAGTTAAATAATTAGTTTCTGACTTTTATAAAGTTTATAAAATAATATACCCCTATTTTTCTTAAGTACCTGCTATAAAAAGAAAACCCGACAAAGGAAGGTGAAAATAAATGAGAAAGATGGTAAATAGTTTTCCCAAGGGTCCGGCAGAAGTAATGGCAACTGACATTTGACATTAGTTTTCTT